CTGGACCGAGCCACCCCAGTGTTTCATGAATCGAGGCGGCAATTTGCCTCCGCGGCAGGCGGCCCAAGGTCAAGCCACGTGGCGCTGTCGCAACACGTGCTGCTCCTTCGATAACGTTTCCTTCAGGTCTACCTGTCGGGACTGTGGCTCGAAGGCACCGCAGCATGTTCTCAACCAGCAGCGTGCAAAACAGAATGCCAACGTGTCGCCGACCCCCAACCGCTGGCTCAGTGGACCACCGCGGCTTGTGCAGGACGGGGGGAAAGGTGGCAGCGGAGGCAAAGGGGGCAAGGCAGCTGCCACGGCAGCCTTGTCCAATGACGATCTCATCTAGCTGCTCAAAGGAAAAAGTATGAAGGAAGGTTCTGAGTTGGAGACGCAGTTGCAGGATATATCTTCAAGGGCAAGGACAAGGAACAGGACGAGCCGCCTCCGCCAGCAGACCTCAGTGCCAAGAGATTGCAGGATCTTCTCCAGAGGCGCACCCACAAGCAGAAGCATATTGAGAAGTCCGAGGAGAGGGTCAAGGAGGCGCGAGAGGCGCTGGAGGCGCAACGACACTTCGATGCGGAGCTCGCGCTGTCCAAGGTTCATCAGGACACCCTCGGCCAAATTGAGTTCTACATAAAGGAAGCCCAGTCAAAGCCGGTCCTCCTTGAGCCGCCCACTGGTCCCGAAAAAGTCGATCCAGCCCGCGAGCTCGAGATGCCCGAGGTCATGGACAAGGCGGTGCGGGAGTACGCGGGGCGCTGTGGGCTGGATGCCGCAGGGCTATGGCAGGCGGCCTCTGGCAAGAAGGAAGAGCTCCAGAAGCAGTTGCCGAAGCCGTTCGCGGCCTGCGCTGCTTTCCCGCCTGGTGGTCCAGGCTCTGCTACGTCTGCAGCTCCTCCAGGCGGTGGAGGGCCAATGGAGGGCCAATGTATTTCGACCGTGAGGACAGAGAGCTCCGCGACAAGCTCAAGGCCACAGGAGTGGCTGCAGCAGACGACCCTGAGCAGCCCAAACGCTTCCTGGCCGACGTTGCAGCCCATGGCAAGCGACAGGAGCGAGGGTAGCAAAATGCAGTCAAACCTGCTCGTATGGACGCTCAACACAGGGGCCTGGGCCTCGGCCCAGGCCGTGCTGGAGTGGGCCAAACATGATCTCCAAGGGGAAGGACAACATCGTTCTCCTGACAACCTTTTACTTCAAGAACATCGGATCAAAGATGCGCTTCGGCTGGCCCGTGCCCGTAAATTGTGCACCCAACCAGGCTTCAAGGTCCCCGCGCCCCTTGCGGAAAGCACAGGTGTGGGGCCCACGGAGTCTAGTGCAGGCTGTGCAGTGTTCAGCAGGTTCCCAGCGGATCCTTTGCAGCTGGCTCGAGGAGGCTTGTCGGATTCCAGAGTTTCGACCATGTCTTTCAGACTCGGCCTCTCCATCCCTGTCTCTGTGGTCGCAGTGTGCTTGCACGCCAGCATCGGGCTCATCGGAGCTAACTTTGATCTACTTGCCAGTCTTTTCCATGCAGTCTGCCCTTCCCGTGGAACATCGGAGCCGATTGGGGCCTAGTCTCAGAGGACATGCAGAAGTGGGCGGTCAAGGCCAAGGCTGATGTGGTCTACTCAGGGGAACTCACCTCCGGAGCGCGGGAAGTGGATTTCTTTGCGCGCAGCAGGGTCCTCACGCCGTTCGTCAGCGCCATCAAGGGCTTCGCTGGAGCGCCAGCGCGTTCCCACCTCCCCGTGGGCCTTCTGCTCAAAAAGGTCTCTCAGTGGAGGCCTAGTTTCCCGAAGCACTTCTGCCCATGATGTTCCCGACTGAGAAGCCAGTTCCTGTTCGGCCAGCGCCTGCGCCGCGAGCACGCAGCAGCTGGGCTTGGAGACTTGGCGACGAACTGCCTTGAGATCTTCAAGCGGCCCATCAACTCTGGTTCAGGCACGTCGAGGAGTACATTCTGGGTCCCCATGGCGCGCACACGCTCGGTGTTCCGCGGCCTACTCGGGGCGCGCTGAAGGTCTTCGAGTGCAGTATGTGGCAGTATATGGCGCCTGGCAGAGTGACCTCAGGCAGGTCTCTTCGGCTGTAGGAAGGAAGTGGGCCTCCTTCTACTCGGCCTGCATGCGATTGCACGCGATCAGCTCTGACTCTAGGGCGAAAGGCTTAAGTCTCTGGCTGCCCAGCGTAGGCAGGCCCCCCACAGTTCAGCGCATTGCTCTGCCAGACTGGCCGCATGACTCCAACCTGGGGCAGTGGAGTGACTATTCCAGGAATGATTTAGCGCAGCTCCTCACAAATGGTGGGGGCGGGGCTGTGGGGTTCCTCCTGGGTCTGAGGGGCCACCTCTCTCGCCTCCAGAATGAAGACAGAGCTGCCGGCGCGTCGGCCTGGAAGGCCTGGGCCAAAGCTGCTGCCAAAGATCAAGGGGGGAGGGGTGCCTATTGCCATGTTCGCGAGCCGCTGCCAGAGACTCAGGTATATACGGAGGCCATGGACGACCTGCCGCCACTCCCTGTTGAGGGTCACCAGGCAGTCGATCGCCTGCTCGAGCAGTGGGAACCGCTGTGGAACGCCCCCAAGCGTGATGGTGAATTTCATCTTGGGGACTGGGCTCCTGGGGTGGTCCTCTCTAGGCCTTCGGAGGCCTCGGTCCCGCCTCCGGGCCTTCCGGTTCCTGGTGGTTTGGATCCCTGTGCGCCGCTTCCGAGGGTCACCATCATGCAGCTTAACGAAGTCTTGTCGTCCTACTCTGGCTCGTGTGGGCTAGGATGGGACCAGCTGCATCCGCGTCAGATTCTGTGGCTCCCTGATAGCCACACGTAAGTGTTCCTGGACATTTTAAGGAAGCGGGAAAGGTCTCCGCAAGATCTGGAGCTCTGGACCCATGTGATTTTTTGGGGGCACACCGGCCCCTGGCTCGAGAGTTCGGCCGTTTGTGCTGGCCTCGGTTTGGGGGCGAATCCGGCGTCGACTTCGGTAACCTGAGGCCGGAATCTGGGGGCTCTGCGATAGGGCAGGCCACGCGGGGTTCGCCGCCATCAGTGGGCTGCTAGACTCAAGCAAACACTATGCGCACATCTCTCAGGAGGACCTGTTGCAGGAAGGCCTGGCCACGGGGTTCCCGATTCAGCTCCTCGAGCGTCTTTGCGCAGGCCATCGCCCCCCAGGCTTATAGATCACCCAAGGAAGGGCTACCCTAGGGCTACCCCTAGGCCTACCCCTAGGGCTACCCTAGGGCTACCCCTAGGGCCTACCCCTAGGGCTACCCTAGGGCTACCCTAGGGCCTACCCCCAGGGCTACCCTGGGGCTACCCCTAGGGCCTACCCCTAGGGCTACCCTAGGGCTACCCCTAGGGCCTACCCCTAGGGCTACCCTAGGGCTACCCTAGGGCCTACCCCTAGGGCTACCCTAGGGCTACCTCTGGGGCCTACCCCTAGGGGTACCCTAGGGTGTCCAGTAGGGCCTATCCTTGGGAAGCCTAGGGCCTTCAGTATGTGAAATCCGCCACACAAGCAAGCAATGCCTTTAATGTCCCGCCCGCCCGCCCGACAAAAGGAATCAGCTTGTAATCCGCCATAATAGCAATCAACTTGCAATCCGCTGCCAAATGAAATCAGTTTGCAATCCGCCACGAAAGCAATCAATGCATTTAATGTCCCGCCCGCCCGCCCGACCAAAGGAATAAGTTTGCAATCCGCTGCCAAAGGGAATCCATGTGTAATTCACCACACAAGCAATTATTGCCTTCAATGTCCCGCCCGCCCGCCCGGCAAAAGGCGCCCGACCAAAGGAATAAGTTGAAAATCCGCTGCCAAAGGGAATCCATTCGCAATTCACCAAACAAGCAATCATTGCCTTTAATGTCCCGCCCGCCCGCCAGACAAAAGGAATCAATGTGTAATCTGCCACAATAAGACTCAGTTTGCCATCCGCCACACAAGCAATCAATGCCTTTAATGTCCCGCCCGCCCGCCCGACAAAAGGAATCAGCTTGTAATCCGCCACAAATGGAATCTACTCGTAATCCGGTCCCAACGGGAAGCAATTGGTAATCCACCACACAAGCAAGCAATCAATGCCTTTACTGTCCCGCCCGCCCGCCCGACTAAAGGCATCAACCCTAGGATAGACCGGTGAGGGGGGGTCTGTGAGGGGGGTCAGCGGAGGGGGGGTAGCGAGGGGGGGTCCCACGAGGGGGGGTCAGCGAGGGGGGTCGGCGGGTGGTTTCCTGCGAGGGGTGGTCGCGAGGGGGGCTGTGAGGGAGGGGTGTCCCAGGGGGTGGGGCGCGAGGGGGGTCCCAGAGTGTAAGGGGGGGTCAGCCGGGGGGGGGCCCAGAGGGGAGGTCAGCGAGGGTGGGGGGGGGTCAGCGAGGGTGGGTCAGCGAGGGAGCGAGGGGCGTCAGCGAGGAGGGGTCTGCTGCGAGGGGGGGTCAGCGAGAGGGGGGGGTCTGTAGGGGGTCCCAGAGGGGGTGGCAGTCCTGGGGTGTCCAGAGTGGTGGTGGGCGAGGGGGAGGTCCCAGGGGGGGTCAGCGAGAGGGGGGTTCAGCGATGGGGGGGGTCAGCGAGGGGGGGTCGCGGGGGGGGTCTGCGAAGGGGGCAGCGAGGGGGGGGTTCCGCAGAGGGGGGGTCTGCGAGGGGGGGGTCTGCGGCGCCGGGGCGCGGTCGCCGGGGGGGGCGGAGCGGCGCCCTGCCCTCGGAAGGGGGATCGGGGGGGGGGGAGAAGCAGGTGATCGAGGGAGTAGCGAGTGAGGAGGGGAGGTGGAGGAGGCAGTAGTAGTGAAAGTAGGAGGGAGGAGAGGAGGAGGTGGCGGCGGGAGGGAGGAGGAGGCGGCGGCGTGAGCAGGGGGAGGGAGGAGCGCGGGCGGACGGAGTGGGAGGGAGGGAGGTAGGAGGCGGGCGCGGAGGGAGGAGGGAGAGGGATGCTTTGCCGGCTCGATTCCGCTACAATAAGGGGTCCGGCTACCCCTGTGGCCCACGCCCTAGGGCTACCCTAGGGCCTACCCTTGGGAAGCCTAGGGCCTTGGGTAGGGCCTACCCTTGGGAAGCCTAGGGCCTTGGGTAGGGCCTACCCTTGGGAAGCCTAGGGCCTTGGGTAGGGCCTACCCTTGGGAAGCCTAGGGCCTTGGGTAGGGCCTACCCTTGGGAAGCCTAGGGCCTTGGGTAGGGCCTAGGGTAGCCAAGGCCCCCGGTGATCTATACCCCCCCAGGAGAGCTCGGCGGAAGGCTGCCATTTCAGACACTGTCGGAGCTAACGGTGCCTTCGCGGCCAGTTGCAGTTGCGCGCTTGTTCTGGCCGAGCTATTTGTCCACGCTGTGACTGTCTCGCTCCAACGGAGGCATCCCGCTGTCAGGTTCCAAAATTTATTCGATGACTGTTTCTTACAGGCCAGTCCCCCTCCTCCTCCTCCTCCCCCTTCAAGATCAAGCACCTCCAGCAGAAGCTGGAGACACTCCAGGAAAAGCTCATTCGTGTTAAGAATCAAAACGCAGCTCCAGGCAGTGCGCCTGTTCCTCGGAGGAGCAGGTCCAGCTCAGGCTCCACTTCTTCAAAGCAATTGGAGCTCAATGTTGTTGGTAGTATCCAACTTTCATTTCAGCGGCAGAAGTTGTATTTCATATTGGGCAAAACAGGCAACTTGAGTAATGGCTTAGTGAGCAAAGTTTCTTTGGCTACAGGTTTCTGGTCGAATCCTTCTTTTGTGTTGGTCAGCGCTGCGTTTGGGTAGGACATTCGTCAGCTACCCAGCGTTCTTTAACCTTCACACGTCTTGTATCATTTGGCCAGATCGGCAGTACTGTTGAAGCAGGCACTTTACTTGCAGTTTCTTCGCCATGCGCTAGTAGGGCAGCTGTATTTCAGCCCAGCTTGTTCTTACTTATCAGAGGTCCAGGAAAGTCTGGCGAAGTAATCCCCTAGTGTTTTCTGCAACCCTTTTGGGGGGTGGTAGGTCTCGCTTTGCTGGGGGTCCTCGCATTAGTATGTGGGAAGATAGTTACCCCAGTGCATTGCAGTCTTGATCTCCTTCCCCTTCCCTTGGTCCTTCAGTCTTCCCCCCTCCCTCCTTCCTCCCTCCAGACAGTTCGAGGAATTGGCAGCCAGGTCGCAGGCGAAAGCAAGTGGCCTTCCCTGGCGGGTCTTGCCATGGTCTCACCATGCCCGAAAGTCCGAACCTGCAAGTTGGCGTTCAGGGATTGTTCGTGTCAGGGGTGGGGGATAATTGGTGGATGGGATGGGTTTCTCCGCCCCGTTCTGGGGAAGTTCTGCGTTGATTCCGTTCTGGCTTGGGAACGGCCCATTAGAAGGTGGGCGGCGTTCAACCCAGGCTAGTTTAGTTTCATGCATGTCCTTCTCATCCTCTCCTCCTCCTGGGGTAGGGCTCTTGGCGCCGAATCGGAATTAGCAACGCCCCAGGCATGGACTGGGGGTCAGTTGCTGTCCGAGGAACGCGCATGAGCTTTAGTGCAGCCCCGAAGCGAATGTCAAAAAAACAATGTCCTCCTGCTCCTCCTCCTCCTCCTCCCCCTCCTCCTCCTCCTCCTCCCCCCCCTCCGCCTCCTCTTCCTCCTCCTCCGACTCTTCCCCTGCCTCCTCCTCCTCCTCCTCGTCCTCCCCCTCCTCCTCCTCCTTTTCCTCATCCTCCTCCGTTTACTCCACCCATCCACCACATTTCTCTTTTGCCCTTTTCCTCCCCTTTTCCTCCTCCTTCCCCACCTCCTTCCTACTCCGCCAGCCTCATCCTCCTTACAAGAGTCATCCTCTTCCTACCTTTTCCTCCTTCTTACTCCTCTCCTCCATCCTCCTCCCCCTCACTCCTCCCTAACCTTCCTCCTCCTCCTCCTCCTCTTCCCACACCCCCCCTCCCCCCCCTTCCTCCTCCTCCCATCTGCTCCTCCTACTGCTCCTCCTCATCCTTCCTCATTCCATCAGACTCCTCCTGATCATTCTCTTTCCACGCTAATCAATCCTCCTCCTCCTCCTCATACCTCATTCCCCCCTCTCCTCAACAATTCCTCACTCCTGCTCACTCACTCTCATCACCATCCCTCCTTTTCTTCATCTTCCTCCTACTCCTCCTCCTCCTCCCTCCCGTCCTCCTCCTCCTCCTCCCTTTCCTTTTCCGCCTCCTCCCCCCCCTCCTCCACCAGTGAAGCCTTACAGTCAAGACGACGCTGCAGCAAGGGCCTTGCGGGCTCAGGACGGGTTTGGGTTTTCGAGCTGCTCCTTCGACCCCGGTCGGGGAAGATGTTTGTGGTCGAGGCTCGCCGTCGCCAAAGGAGCCCTTCATTCATGCGTCAGTGCTCCTTGTGGCAACACGATGGTTGCATCAAAGGCCTTATTTGGGCCCCCCCGCGTTCCCAGCAGGCCGCTCCCTCACCGCACCCCGATGTTCTGGCGTTTCAGTCTGTATGAGCCGGGCGTTTCCGCCAGGTTTCGGCCCCCGGGATCGGTACGATCCGAATAAATATTGAAAGAAGGCACAATGGCCCACAGAAGTTCCTGCCCATTCCGCGGACGTTCTTCTCCACTGAAGACGAACAGTCGCCTGCCCAACAACGGTCGCTGTCGATGTTGGACAACACTTGTTTCCGTACCCATATCGGGCTTGTCAGCAGGACCTTCACAGATCGGGCCGGCTCGACGGAAAGCGTGGTGCAGAAAGATGGGGTCCGGGGCTCGGGTCGTGGGGTTCGTCACGATGCTGATGTTTTCACTGCGCCAGATCTCTGGGCACCCCCTCTTGTGCGCGCCCCCAGCGAGGGGCGTGATCCACCGCGATATCAAGCCGGAGAATGTACTCGTCGTCAGGCCGCGCCCGGGAAGCTGCCTCGCACGACGGCGGCGGCGACGACGACGAGGACGACGACGACGAAAACGACGGCGACGACGACGACGAAAAGGGCGACGACGACGACGACGACGAAAACGACGACGAAAACGACGAGGAGGAGGAGGACGACGCCGACGACGAAGACGACGAAAACGACGACGAAAACGACGAGGAGGAGGAGGAGGACGACGACGACGACGAAGACGACGGCGGCGGCAGCGGCGGCGGCGTCCCGGCGGCGCCGCCAGGTCGAGCCCGCACCCCGAGAGCGGCAGCAGCCTCTTGGACGTCAAGATCGCAGACTTCGGCCTCTCGAAGGTCGTCGGGCGGCGGCGGCGAAAGTCCTGACGACGGCGACGACCTCGTGGGAAAGGGGGGGGGTACAAAGTCTGCTGCATGCAGATGGCCTCGGCCCCACCGAGGGGCCCATTCCTTGATACATGGCCGCCTCCCGGCGCCGAGAGGCGCCGGGAAAATCAGCTACGCGAGCTGATTCTTAAACCCCCCTTTGCTATCCCCCCCTTTCGCCCGGCCCGATCGTCGACGACGACGTCGACGTCGTGCGTCGCCACCGTCGGCGGAGGTCGTCAGGGACGGGGTCTCCCTCGCCAAGACCTTCGTGGGCACGCCGCAGTACTGGGCCCCCGAGGTCCTGGACGTCCAGGAGCGCGGCGGCACCTACGGCCCGGCCGCCGACCTCTGGGGCCTGGGCGTGGTGCTCTTCGTCATGCTCTGCGGGCGGTACCCCTTCGACGGCCACGACAAGCCGATGCAGGACCAGATCCGGGCGGCCTCCTTCAACACGAAGACCTCCAGGTGAGCGACGCAAAAAAAGGCCGTCTACGCCGACATTGGCGCGTAAGCTGCCCGCGTAAGGTCGCGCGTGCGCGCCCTCGCCTGCAAAGTAGCGTTCCGCGCTGGCGGCCCGCGTAAGCCACTGCATCGTGAGGTCCCTGTGTCATCTCGCGCAAGACCCATGTTCGATCGTCGCTCAGGTGGCGCTCCATCTCCGCCGAGGCCAAGGACCTGGTCCGCGGGGTGCTGAGGGTGAGCCCCTTTGTATGGGGCCAGCAAGAGCTCACGACAGTGATCCAGTCCGCGATTTCCAGAGTTTTTGATGTGCCACGCCACGCGGCTGCATAGACTAGGGCCATTTGGATACCCCGGAATTGCTGGAACGTATCTTGAGCCAATCGCATCATGATTTCATGATCGCCATGGTCTCTTAATCAGTGCTTGCCCCATGACATCCGTCGATCTGATTTGTTCAATCCGCGGCCCCAGAGGTCCCGACCGCTTCCCCAGGGCTGTTTTTTCGGCCGGATTTTCTTTTGATGCTCCAGTGGCCCAGCATTAAGTCGGGCTTGTCCCTCTACAGGGGAGTATTCAGAAACATTCAAAACAATACTCGGCGCGGAGATCCCCAGATGTGCATCTCATAGTGATGGCAAACTTTGGTGGAAGACATTGTCCTTTTCAGTATCCGAGTGTCAGCGGATCCACGTGGAAAGCGAGGCCGAGAGCGACGCCGACGACTATGACGACTTTAAGTACTTGCTTCCTCCTTCCGTCCTCCTCCTCCTCCTCCTCCTCCTCCTCCGTGTTCTCCTCCTGTTTCTCCTCCTTTCCCGATGAACACCTGTCAGGACAATCCATTCGTGGAGACGAGAACGGGCCCGTGCAATACCCCCTGGCGCTCCCCTTTGGAGTGCTGAAACCAGCGCCCCGCCTGGGACATTCTCGGAAACTGCTCCGAAAGAGAAGGATGTTGATGTTGAGCACCCAAGCAGGCAAACCGCTTGAGACATCCCCCCAGTCTGGGCGCGAACGGGCCCGTGCAATACCCCCTGGCGTCCCCCCTTTGGAGTGCTGAAACCAGCGCCTTGCTTGAGACATCCTCGGAATCTGCTCCGAAAGAGAAGGATGTTGGGCAGCCAAACAGGCAAACCGCCTGAGAAATCCCCCCAATCTGGGCGTGAACGGGCCTGTGATATACCTCCTGGCGCCCCCCTTGGGAGTACTGAAACCAGCACCTCGCCTGAGACATCCTCGGAAACTGCTCCGAAAGAGAAGGATGTTGGGCACCGAAACAGGCAAACCAATTGAGACATCCTCCAATTCTGGGTGTGAACGGGTCTGTGATATACCCGTGGCTCCCCCCTCTTGGGAGTACTGAAACCAGCGCCTCGCTTGAGACATCCTCGGAATCTGCTCCGAAAGAGAAGGATGTTGGGCACCCAAACAGGCAAACCGCCTGAGAAATCACCCCAATCTGGGCGTGAACGGGCCTGTGATATACCTCCTGGTGCCCCCCTTGGGAGTACTGAAACCAGCTCCTCGCCTGAGACATCCTCGGAAACTGCTCCGAAAGAGAAGGATGTTTGGCACCGAAACAGGAAAACCACCTGAGACATTCCCCCAATCCGGACGCGAACGGTCCTGTGATCTACCCGTGGCTCCCCCGTCTTGGGAGTAGTGAAACCAGCGCTTCGCCTGAGACATCCTCGGAGACTGCTCCGAAAGAGAAGGATGCTGGGCACCGAAACAGGCAAACCGCCCGAGAAATCCCCCCAATCTGATCGCGCGCCTCGCCTGAGACATCCTCGGAAACTGCTCCAAAAGCAAAATATGTCAGGCACCGAAACATGCAAATCTCTCAAGACATCCCGACCATTTCGGCGCGAACGGAGGAGTGCAATACCCCCTGGCGGTTCCCCAATGGATGCGAAAAGCGGGGGATGTCGGGCACCAAAACAGGCAAACCGCTCGAGACATCCCCACCATTTCGACGCGAACGGAGGAGTGCAATGACCCCTGGCGGCTCCCCCTTGGAGGCGAACATGCGCGCCTCTCTCGAGACATCCTCCAAATCTGCTCCGAAAACTGAGGATGTCGGCCACCAAAACAGGCAACCCGCTAAAGAAATCCCCACCAGTTCGGCGCGCACGGAGGAGTGCAATACCCCCTGGCGGCTCCCCCTTGGATGCGAAAATGAGCGCCTCGCTCGAAGTATCCTCCAAGTCTGCTCCGAAAGCGGACGACGTCGGGCACCACAACAGGCAAACCGCTCGAGACGTCCCCACCATTTCGGCGCGAACGGAGGAGTGCAATATCCCTTGGCGGCTCCCCCTTGGAGGCGAAAATGAGCGCCTCGCTCGAGACATCCTCCAAATCTGCTCAGATAGCGGAGGATGTCGGGCACCAGGACAGGCAAACCGCTCGAGACATCCCCGCCAGGTTGGCGCGAACTGAGGGGTTCAATACCCCCTGGCGCCCCCCCTTGGGAGTACTGAAACAAGCGCCTCGCTTGAGACATCCTCACATCGTGTGTGTGTGTGTGTGTGAGTCTGAGCGCGGAAGTACCAGGAGTGTGAGTGAGTTTGCATATGAGTGATCCCGACCATGAGAAACTTGAGTATCAAGAATCTAAGAGCGAGTGTATCTGAGTATGAGTGAGTCTGAATATGGGTGAGTCTGCATGTGAGTCAGTCAGAACATGATGACCTGAGGTTGGTAGGTGTTGAGGGTGGGAGGTGTGTTCTCTTTCTCGCTTTCCGCGCGGTCTAAGTAATGACAAGACCCCATGTTTAGGATATGGGGAGTAGTCGGGGGATGATTATTTTAGTAGTGTTGAGTAACCATCATATCGTTGGAGATCTGGGTGCCCTGGCCTCTTCCAGGTGAGCCCCTCGGAGCGGCTCCGGCTGGAGGGCTGCTTCTGCCACCCGTGGGTCATCTGCGGGGAGTACCTCTGTCCATGTCCACTGCCGCGTGGAGCTCCGAGCTCCCTTCCCCAGGGAGTCCAGGACGCACCGGATACGGATACTCCAGATTTCGTAATAAAAGGGAGGGGGTCTCATTTCGGGGGGGGTCTCTTCCAGGCTATCTCGGAGGGCCTGGGAGGGTCTGGGGACGATTTTTTGGAGGGTTCTCCCACGGGGGGGGGTCTAAAACTTCTCGTCTGGGAGGGTTGAGACCCCCTCCCTTTTATTACGAAATCTGGATACGGATAGAACTACTGCCCGCACACTCGCCCCTGGTCCGCTGCCGCAGGGGCCAGAGGCCGCTGCCGCGGCCCCAGCGACGCCGGAGGGCCGGGAGCCCCCGCGGCAGCGAGGCGCGGACGGCGGGCACCCCGGCCCGGTCGCGGAGGATCGGGGGCCGGCCAAGAGGTGTGGAGCGATGAGCGCGCGCCCATACCCACAGTGGGGACGGAGGGGGCTCCGGGGGCGTGTTGTCGGATGGTGCTCCCCGCTCGACCTGGATCTCCCCTCTCGGTGTCCGGCAATTTGGGGGGGCCCTTCTGCCATGGTTAAGTCGGGCCTGTGCCCCTACAAGGGGATTTCCAACGATTTTGTTTTAAGAAAAAGAAGAAAACATATCCCAGTGCGACCCTACCTAGGAGTTGGAGCATTGAGGAAAGCAACATATACATCTACACCGACAGCTACACTTACATCTACACCTGCATGTACATATGCATGCGCTATGCTATGTTATGATAGGGTACGCTCGGCTGCGCTGTGTTATGCTATGCTATGCTATGATATGCTATACTTCGCTATGCTATGCTATGATATGCTATGCTATGCTATGCTGCTCTATGATATGATATGCTGCGCTATGCTATGTTATGCTAGACAAGGCTATGCTATGATATGCTATGCTGCGCTATGCTATGCTATGCTATGCTATACTGCGCTATGATAGTATATGTTATGATGTGCTATGCTATGATATGCTGCGCTGTGCTATGCTAAGCAATGCTATGCTCTGCTCTGCTACGCTATGCTGCGCTATGCTATGCTCTGCTATGCTATGTTGAGCTATGCTATGCTATGCTATGCTATGCTATGCTATGCTATGCTATGATATGCTTGGCTATGTCATGCCAGGCTATGCCATGCTAATGCTGCGCTAAGCTCAGGTAAGCTAAGCTATGCTAAGCTAAACTAGGCTAGGTTAGGCTAAGCCAAGCCACGCTACGCGAAGCTAAGCTGAGCTAAGCTAAACTAAGCTAAGCTAAGATGAGATCAGCTAAGCAAAGCTAAGCTCGGCTAGGCAAAGCAGAGCTAAGCTAAGCTAAGATGAGATAAGCTAAGCAAAGCTAAGCTAAGCTTAGCTAAGCCAAGCTAGGGGAACCCAGGGGGCGCAACTGGGGGAACCGCGGGGCGGGGACTGGGGGAACCGCCCGGGGCGCGTTCCACTGCCCGGCCCCATTTAAGCTAAGAGAGTAAGAACCCTCTAGGCAGAGCCTAGGTAGGGAACAACAAACATAAAAAAAACATAACAAAAATAGCCTGGGGACTAACTTTGAATATGTTTTGGCCTTTTTGGTATTTTTTTGATTTTTGTTTCGTCGAAAATCCCCCTGTAGGGGGACACGCCCGACATAATGCAATGGCCAGACCTCCTCCCTCCGCCTCCCCCCAAAGGTATGGGTGTGCGTGTGTCCTTCCCATCAAGAGGGGGGTGATGGCCACGGGGGAGGCTGGATATCATGGCCGAGGCCACTGACACCTCCCGGGATCTCATGGGCCCCCCCTCTCGTGTTTCGGCACGGCCCCCTGGCCTTAAGTCGGGCCTGTCCCTCTACAGGGGGAACATTCAAAAATAGTAAAACCATAGTTTGGGGACTTTTTTGTGAGTTTTTTCCATAACCATTTTGAAGTATTTGTTGAATCTTGTTTTCGTCGACAATCCCCCTGTAGGGGGACACGCCCGACTTAACCCTGGCCCCCTTTATCCTGGGCCGCGCACGTGCCTCGGACAGTGCCTTGGACGCCCCCCTCTTGGATGAGCCCAACAGCAAGTCGGGCAAGTCCCCCTACAGGAGGAATCGCCCAAGGTAGTCAAAAAATAGTTTGGGGAATATGTTTTGATATTTCTTGGGTTTACGCCATACCGCCGACCCCTTGGGGAATTGGCGGTTGTTGCGTGTTGCTCCTGAGGGCATTTTGTGCGCCTTTGGGGGGCTTCTTGGAGCACTTTTCGGGGTTCATGGGGGCCTTGGTGGGGCCTTTTGGGCTGACCTTCGCAGCATTCGCCGTGCACGCATCGGGGATGGGGTGAGAACCCGCGTATACAGACGCAGGGCATCGGTCAAAACACCCGACGAATGATTATCGAATGGCCTGCGGCACATCCCGCCGCCGTGCTTGGGTTGCGGGTCCGAGGCCACTCGGATGGCTGGTGGGGTTTCATGGGAGGCGTTTCGGAGGCGTTTTGGAGGCATTGTTTCCCAATCTCCCTGAGCTGGGCATTCGCTTTGAATAGAACACTGCCCGCCCCCTCCGCCTCTCCTCTTCTTTCCTGCCTCTCACCTCGCTCCTCCCTGCGTGCCAGCTTGCTTCCTACCTGGCCATCCCTGGGGGGCTACGATCTGCAAAACTGCAGCCACTTCCGAGGGCTGCTGGGTGGTCCAGCGGAGTGACGTCTTACCCAGACCACCAGAAGATCTCCCCATCCTTATGGGGCTGCGATCTGCGAAGCTGTCACCACCTTCGAGGTCTTCTGGGTGGTCCAGCGGAGTGCCGTTTTACCCAGACCACCAGGAGACCTCGCCATCCCTGTTGGGCTGCGATCTGCGAAACTGTCGCCATTTTCGAGGGCTGCTGTGGGTGCAGCGGAGTGACGTCTTACGCAAACCTAAAATGGATATCACCATCCTTGTGGGGCTGCTGCGATCTGCGAAACTGTAGCTAACTTCGGGGGCTGCTGGGGGGGGAACAGCGGAGTGACGTCTTGCGCAGACCACAAGGAGACCTCGCCATCCCTGTGGGGCTGCGATCTTCGAATCTGTCGCCACTTTCGAGGGCTGATGGGTAGTCCAACGGAGTGACACTTACGAAGACCACCAGGAGACCTCGCCATCCCTGTGGGGCTGCGATTTGCGAACGTGTCGCCACATTGGGGGGTACAGCGGAGTGACGTCTTACCCAGACCACCAGGAGACCTCGCCATCCCTGTGGGGCTGCGATCTGCGAAGCTTTCGCCACTTTCGAGGGCTGCTGGGCGGTCCAGCGGAGTGACGTCTTGCGCAGACCACAAGGAGACCTCGCCATCCTTGTGGGGCTGCGATCTGCGAAGCTGTCGCCACTTTCGAGGTCTTCTAGGTGGTCCAGCGGAGTGCCGTTTTACCAAGACCACCAGGAGACCTCGCCATCCCTGTGGGGCTGCGATCTGCGAAGGTGTCGCCACCTTCGAGCGTTGTTGGAGGGTCCAGCGGAGTGACGTGTTACCCAGGCCACCAGGAGACCTCGCCATCCTTGTGGGGCTGCGATTTGCGAAGGTGTCGCCACCTTCGAGGGCTGTTGGGGGGTGCAGCGGAGTGACGTCTTACGCAGACCAAAAGGAGACCTCGCCATCCATGTGGGTCTGCGATCTGCGAAGCTGTAGCCACTTTCGAGGACTGCTGGGGGTTGCAGCGGAGTGACGTCTTACCCAAACCACCAGGAGATCTCGCCATCCTTGTAGGGCTGCGATCTGCGAAACAGTCGCCACGCTCGAGGGCTGCTGGGGGTCCAGCGGAGGGCCGACTTACCTTGACCACCAGGGGACCTCGCCGTCCTTGTGGGGCTGCGATCTGCTAAGCTGTCGCCACTTTCAAGGGCTGCTCGGGGGCCTAGTGGAGTGACGTCTGATTCAGATTCAGATGAGATCTCGCGATTTTGGCAGTGGGGCCCGCTGTCAAACGGACGTCCAGGACCCCCCCCCCATGACGCGCCTGGCCCGCGCGCAACGGATCCGTTGACAGGGGGCCCGCTGTCAAATGGGCCCCCCGCGGTCCGTTGACAGTAGGGACCATTGTCAAATGGGCCCCCCAGGGTCCCCCTCGTGAAGCGCCCCGCCCGCGCGCCGCGAATCCGTTGACAGTGGGGCCCAGTGTCAAGTGCGCCTCCCGCGGCCCCCCCTTGATCAGGCAGGTACCAACGGGGGGGCACTGGCAAATGGGCTCCCAAGGGCCCCCCCCACACACCCCACACCCTTCCAAACCGACCGGTCCGGGCCTCCTGGTGAGGGGTATAGGGGAGGGGAAACATCTCACACGCCGAGGGACCTACAAGGGGCGGGCGGATTCTTTTGCATTTTTCTGTAGTGTTGAATGCTTTTAACTTTTCGTCCACATTCCGATTGTAGACGGACAAGCCCAAGAGGAGCGCGCGATGGTGCTCGCCCCTGGCACGCCCCGCGGCCGTGCCCGCCCCAACGGCGCGGCGGACGCGCCGGCGCCCGACGCGCCGCGGGCGGCGAGCCCGCCACGCCGCGCGCCCGCGGCGGCGGGGCCGGGCGGGGCCGCGGAGGCCGCGGGCGCGGGCGCCGCGGAGGCGGCGGGCGCGCCGCGGGGGCGGGCTTCGGGCGGCCTCTGGCGCGGGCGTGCGCCACGGGCAGGGCTGGCGCTGCTGCTGCTGCCCGCCCTGCTGGCGGTCGGCGGGAGGGGGGGCGCGGCAGCGGCGGCGGCGACGGGGGCTGCGGCGGCGGAGGCGGACGCGGAGGCGTTCGAAGGCAAAGGCGAAGGCGACGGAGGCGGACGCGGAGGCGGCGGCGGCGGCAGTGGCGGCGGCAGCGAAGGCGGCGGCGGCGGCGGCGGGGAGGCTCTCGCCGCGCTGCGGCCGCTGCTGGGCCGGCCGGAGGGAGGCGCCGCGGTGCAGGAGGTCAGGCGGTCGGAAGCGTCTTTGCGGCCGCGATCCGTGGTTTCGTCGTTGTCGCCGTCACCGTTTTCGCTGCCGTCCTTCGTCGACGAGGTAGTCGTCACCGCCGTCGTCGCCTTCGTGGTAATGAGTCCATCGTTGACGTTGTCGCAATCGCAGCCGTCGTCGTCCGTCGTCGTAATCTCCGCCGTCGCCGTCATCGCCGTCGTCGTCGGCGCCGTCTTCGCCGAAGTCAGTCATCGGTCGTCGTCGGTCGTCGTCGCCGTCGTGGTCCGCTGCGTCCTGCCCGCTGCTGTTGTTGGGAGCCGCCCGCGAGGGGGGGCGCGGCGGCGGCCCAGCAGAGCGCGGCGAGGGCAGCGGAGAAGCGCCGCTGGCGGTGGCGGGCGTCGTCACCGTCGTCGTCGTCGTCGACGTCGTCGTCGCCGTCGTCGTCGTCGTCGTCTCCGTTGTCGTCGTCGTCCGTCGTCCGTTATCCGTCGTCCGTCGACGTCGTCGTCGTCGTCGTCGGCGGCGGCGGCGGCGGCGGAGGTCGCGGCGGAGGCGGTGCTAACTATGTGCCAACGTTGTTTCATCCCCCGCTGTGGTTCTCAGGAGGAATCGCATGTGGCGCTGATTCACATCTGTATTCCGTCGTCTGTTCGCCCGCTTATTGCAACCCGGCCTTCCTGAGGTCAAGCACGTTTGGCGCGCTTGCCGGCCTTCTTTGGTTGCTTCAGGGCGACGGCAGATTCGTTCGTTCGTTCCCTTGGAGTTCTCAGGAGGTCCCCGGAGGAATTGGGAAGCGCGAGAAGCGCCACAAGCCTGTGGACAAAGTTTCTGGTGGTGGCCTGCTTGTCGTCGTCATCGTCGACGGCACTATTTTCAGTCCATACCCCAACTGGTGTTCTCAGGAGGTCTCCAGAGGCTTCAGCCGAAAAACAACACGCGGCATAAGTTGTTTGGTTCTGAGTTCTGCGCCGATTTTTTGGATCGGCGCTGTGCCCCGGTGGCGACGCCTCTGGGGCCGCCCCTGGCGCTTTCCGCGCGTCGGGGTCAGGGGTCCAGCGCCGATCCAAGAAATCCGTGTGGACTTGTGAGAAATTACATGTCCCAGCCCCTCTGTGTTGGGTTCTCGTTTTGAGTCGAGCACTGGGTGCGCCGTCCCTTCTCCTCCCCTCCCTTTTTCCTCCTGCCTCCCACTTCCTGCCCCCTGCCTTCTCTTCTGTCTCTTCCTCCTCCCGTCTCTCCTTCGTCCTGCCTGCATCCCCAGAGGGCTGAGAAGTGGACAATTGTCGAGGCTGTGGTGGGTTCTTGGCAGGTCCCTCGGATGGGTGGGGACACGGGGATCCAGTTGGGA